CTTGTATTTTGATGAACCGTCTTAGTCCTATAGGGCAAATTACACTTGGTGACTGACAGGTTATTGATATAATTTTATTGTCAATTAATATCCGAAACACAATGTTTTCCTTTTACATCCATCCTTCGTATGTACATCCCTACCTTAACTGCTCCTTCTGATAGTGTAGACTATAGCAAACTGGTGTGTTTTATAACTGGTCATGGGTATTTACAGTACTAAGATAGCTCTTTTTCAGCTCAGTATCTATAGTGTCTGTGATATTCCTTGCCAAGAATTAGGACAACAAAATTCTGAGTGTGTCTACACATGTGACATATATGTATTAATCAAGGGACTTAATATGTTCTGAGAATCAGAGAGACCTCAAACATGACAGAGTAAAATTTCCACGGATGTACTGCGTTACTCTGGGGATTTGTTCACCATGAGATACACCTTCCCATTGCAGTGTGGAATCGTGGTATCCACTGATAACTTTAGTCATTGGAATAAGGTGTTTGGTGTAATAGTCTATGTTATTTCATTGTAGCGTCTTGCTATTTCTGTTTAAACATTTTCAAGGTTGGCTAAAAATATGACCAGTTCCATCTTTGTAACAAACAAAATTTTTTAAAGTGTAAAATTTCTTGTCAAAACAATAAAATGTAATATCTGTATTTATTATATTATCAATTTCTTTACATCTTCATAATCCAAGATACCTTTACCATCGATGTTTTCATATTTTTTATATTTCAAGGACTCTGTAATCTTCTCACTCAAAAGGTAATTTACATAGAGTTTGAATTTCTAATATTTCTCCTGGAAATTGATACTTTAAATTCAGGGTCATATGTTATACCTGCAAAAATATACAAAGAAACTGCAAACATTACTGGAATCTGTAGTTGAAATACATATAATTATAATCTGCATTTACACGAGTTCCCCAAGTGATTGATGTATATATGTGGACGTTGGAGATATTCTGTTCTAGAACAGTCTCTCAGCCTCCTCAGTGTTAACATCCTGTTGGATGATGGTGGTGTGAGCTCTGGGTTGCATTAGAGTATGTTGAGCAGGATCCCAGGCTTCAACCTACCAGGTGCTATTAGTAGCACCTCCCTGTTATGACAACAGAAATTTCTGCAGATAATTGCCAAATGCCTCCTGTAGGCATAAATCACCCTGTTTGAGGACCCTCTTTGAGCACCACTGGCCTGGAGCAGAAGGCCTATAAATCTTTTTTTAAAAATAATTATATAATTTCTTATTTGCAGTTAATTATTGTTAATCTTCTCTGTAGGGTGAAATATAGATTTTTGAACGCATGCATGCAGTGCATGTCAATTAAATCAAAAATATTACAGTATAGATTATACTCAATAAATAATTTCCAACTCTTGTATCTGATCATTTTTTTTTACCCTTTCCTGAGCCCTTCCCACCCACCCCTTACTAATCACCACCTTCCTATATAGCCTCTGGTATCTACGATTGTCCTCCTTACATATCTTCAAATCTCTATTTTCTCTCTCTCTTTTTAATTACATTTAATCACTACATTGTTATATAGTGCAAAATGGTTTTTCCCAGCAAGAATATAGTGCATATTAGTCAAACCTAAGATATTATCTTATACGTTATTACCTTTGGCTAACTTTTATTTTTCGTATCTCATAACTATTTCTTTTTCTATAAATAAATTGGTGGGGTTCCCAACAAACTTCTTTTCTTACTTGGTTCACAACTTTTTTCACATCACTTAACCCTTCTGAGCCTCATATAGAATGGGTTCCTCATAGTGCAGAATTCACTTAAAAATTAAGTGAAACAATTCATATAGCATTCTTTTTAATTTTGTTTTATTTTGTTATAGGGCATATGCACTCACTTCAGAGAAAGTGAGAAAGAGGGAAAATGAGAAATCACCACACATTAAAATCCCTCCTCTTCAATTTTGTTCTTAGGCTTTTGTGCACACATACACACAAGCCCGCCATGTTTTCTAAGCCACTGGGACCTGAACTGCACAGTTGCCCATATGGGATCCAGTCACCTTAACCCCAAGGCCACCTTGCTGCCCAGTCCATGGAACATAAGTGTTCTAAGTATATCTCTCACCGTTACAAATGTTTAGCAAATGGAGGACAAATGCCAATTGCTACACTGTGTTATAGACTGAAAACTCCACACTGCGTTGTCATAAGCACCATGAGGTCCATGACTGTCATAATTACTCAAGGTTGTATAATAGGTGAACACAGTTCTCTGCCTTGATGAAAAAAGAACAGCAATTCCTGAAACTATCAGGAATTGTATCCACATGACAAGTCAATGCATTCATCTTCAAAAAGAACTAATAAACACAGCTATCACAGACTTTGAGGAAAATTTTAACTTTGCAGAACTGGTAATAAGATGACAGCTCTGTAAACAACAGAGTCCCCAGAGAAGGAATAATAAAGACTGCATTCACCTGACATCTAACATGGTCTCTTAGGAAAGGGAATCAGCTGGAAAATTTTCCTTTCTGGCCAGACAGTGTCCCACAGGGAAATCAGGTGCTCAGGGATTGTAGTAAGAAGATGAAAACGTGCCGAGTGAGCAGATAAATGGCTATGTAAGCATTTCTTCTTCATATGCCATTAGAGTATGCAGCCTCAGGTTGGATTCAAAGAGGGCCATTATTCTTTTAAATGTCCTAAACCTGGCTAGAGTACTGATGCTTGACTGCTTGCTGCTGTCTTGCCTGGGGTCAGAGTTTCATTCTCCATCATCAACCACGCAGGGAGGAGTTCAGACTCTCACATGAAGACCTTACCATAGACCCTATCCAGGTGAGACTTATGGCCCAGTAAGTACAGCTTAAAAAGTTCAGAAAGAGTGGAAGTTGAGCATGTCCTGAAGTCACTTCAGAGACCAGAGCCAAGAGATTGCTCTGTATTTTCTTCCCCTTGGCTGATGAGTTAATTTGTAATAAATTAATTGTATATGTTAAAGGGCAAAGTGTTTAGGTCAGCAGTTGGTGTGGAGTTTTAGGTGATGGATCCCACATGGCTGACGGTGCAGTTTGTTTCTCAGACCCTTCACCTTGAAAACTACATTGGAGAGCTGGGACTAGCAGTTAGCGTAATGGCTATGTTGCTGGACTCCCATGTAGTCGACCGCGGTTCGCATCCCAGACCCGGTGGCTTAAACTCATGCCGGGCGCATGTGCGTGCATGCCCAAGATCCCAATAGGAGAATGGATGAGAAGGGATTGTGGCATGGACATCCCCCCTGGGGGTGGGTTCTTGGTTTGTTTATCTCTTTCTCT